TTCCCTAGGCTGCTCACCTTGTCTGCTGTTGGCCTTGCCCACAGTAGGTGTTCTGCTCTGAAAGAATGTCTGGAAGTGGAGGTCAAGTTCATAAAGGCTTTTTTGTTTTTTGGCGGGTGACACCCTGGGTCTCAGTACACCGTCAGTGACCGCAGAAAGGCTGGAGTGGCTGCCTGGTCCAGCTCTAGGGTAAATCAGGAGTTACTTTTGTCACCAAGCACAGGCCTCAGATGAGCTCTCCAGCTCTCTTTGAGGCAGTGGAACTGACTTCTGAGATGTTCTTAGATGCTCCGATAGATGAAGTCTGACTGCCTTTTTGTTCCCTTTCCAGATGCCTGGAATGAAACAGAAAGAGTCAGAGTGTGACAGTGTCTTCGAGGGATACTTTCAGATTGATGGAAGCAGGAAGACAGATCAGGATGGGCCTCATCTCAGAGGTTAGACAGCGTTGCTCAGTTTCTTCTGGAACGGGGCCTGTGTGGCACAAGTCGGGCAGGGCAGGGGTGGGTAGTGGGGAGGGATGCTTGGGCTCTGAGTTTCCACCTCTCCACGTGGCCCCCAGCCACCATCCTGGGCCATTTCCTTTGCTGGCAGCAGAACTGAACCATGAGAGGCAACACACAGACCTCAGGCGTCTTGAGGCTCTTCAGAAACATGAGGTCAGCCCTAGGGAATGAGGCAGCTTGGCAGGTGTCCAGGCAGCTACAGAGATGCTGTTTGTCAGGCTCTGGATTCCCGCTGACCCGCCTGCCAAGCTCTCGCGAGGGACAGGAAGTGCTTTGGCTCCCCCCGCCCTGGGGCCTGGGTATATCAGGGGCCCACTTCTGTAACGGTGTTGACTTTGTGCATGTCATGCCTCTGGCCGAGCTCAGAGCATCCCGGGGACGGGCTTCTGCCCTTTGGGGCTTAGAGGCGGCTGTAGTGGGTTGAGAAGCCACGTGGTGATGTGGCGGGAGCTTGCTGGGCCAGTGGCTGGGTTTTTATTTATCTTGGTCCTTCTGCAGAGTCGCCTGTGGCCTTGGACGTGGGACTTTACCACTCTGGGCTCCAGCTCCTTCCTCGATCAGCGAGGGGGCTAATCGTGTAAAGTGACAGCCACTTTCTCCTTCTTGCTTTCTTAATTTTTTACTGGAACAGTCTCTCCCTCGCCCTGTGTGGATGAGCTGTGATGGGTGTGAGCCAGCAGAAACAGCCTATTTTCTCTGATTTTACTAGGAGAGGGCTGGTGACCCAGGTCCGGTCCCTGAAATATAAGGGGATGTCTGTTAGGTGGGCTCTGAGAGGGAGTTTGCTCCCTTCTTTAAAAAGAAAAGAAAAAAAAAAAGATCAGGAACCTCACCTTCTTCTGGTCACTGACAGGTTGTGGAGCTGAGGCAGCCCAGAGGTGACAAAAGTCTTAAGGGATAAACAGCTGGCACACTGGTGATGGCTGTCTGGAAAAGCTATATTAAAAAAAAAAAAATGAAGCCTTGGTGACATTTCTGTTGAAGTCTTATGATTTGTTACACAAGATAATTAAACATCTTTGTTGTTTCAGCCACTACAAGTCAGGTATTCTTTTACTTGCAGCTGAATTCACTCTAATGGAGACATAGTAACATGAAAAAAATGCATTTGGGAATTCTATCAAAACGGTGGGATACAACATTCTGGCCAGATGGAGGTGACAACCATGTCAGAATTGTGTGTGTGTATAAACAGGGGCAGGAAGAAAATCCAGAGAACTGAGAACAGGGGCTTTGTGGTGGCTTTTCTCTTACCCACCCTGCCTTGTGCTGAAGTCTCCCAGCTGATATTAGTAATGGTAACACCACGACCATCAGACCAGGTGCTTTATAGCATCGTCTTGGTACCACTTACACGACTGCTGCACGCGGAAGGTGCTGTGATTGCCCTCGTGTTATCCATGAGGGGAGGCTGCAGAGCTCACATTTAAACCTGTGTCCCTCTCCAAAGCTGGGCTGTGCCTACTTGGATGCAGCCGGTCATCCTCTGGCCATGAGGCTTCTGGGGCTCGCCTGGGGGAGGACGGCTAGGAGCACAGGCGGGGGGCCAGGAGGAGATGGTATAAGGAGCCGCCTGGGGCCAAACTGGGCCCATCCAGCGTGTCAGAGATTGTTCCCAGAGAAAACCAATTCCACTCAGAAGCAGTGTGGATTTTTCTATTTATCTGTTTATCTAATGGGTACTTTGGTATAACAAACGAGTAATCGTTTCTCTTTG